AACAACAAACGTTTGCAAAACAACAACAAACGTTTGCAAAACAACAACAAACGCTCGTAGAACAATAAACTTGAAAGAACAGAAAAGTTTTAAATGAAACTAAAAAAACAACAGATTCCACCAACTCTATATTTAATGAACAAAAAGTCAAAAACTGGCCCCAGCCTCACTGATTCCACTGGATCTCAGAGAGAAATTCACCCCAAAGGTCAGACCGTGCAGTGACTCCACAGGCCTCAGTCAGCAGGTCAAAGGTCATGACCTGTTCACTATAAAAACAACATGGCAGCTCAACTCAGGATTGAAAAGTTTCATCTGAAGGAACCACAAGACTTTTGGACCAGAACCAGAGCAGAGGACAGGTGTTTACCCAGAATGCACTGCAGCAAACAGCTCCTCCCAGCCGTCGGCACGGTGGTGCAGGGCTAATGGTTTGGGCTCCTGTCAGTCACTGAGTGGACCAGAACTCCTCTGTAGACCAAAGGGTTCTGGAGTCCAACATCTGATGCTTGGACCAAACAGGGTCCAACAAAACCATGATCCAGAACACAGCAGCTGATCTACAACAGAACAGGTCAGAAAGAACAGAACCAAGGTGCTGCAATGGTCCAGTCAGGGTCCAGAACCTGAACCTAACTGAAGTTCTGTGGTGGACCTTTAGAGAACTGAGCAGAATCCAACGATGTAAAGAAGAGTGGGCCAGAACTCCTTCAGAACCATGAGGGAGACTGAAACAGAAACCCACTGAGGGTTCTGCTGCTGAAGCAGGTTCTGCTGCTGAAGCAGGTTCTGCTGGGTCAGAACCAGTTTTTCATGCTCTTTAATAAACAAAGACTCGGTGGAATCTCATGTTTTTGTTCACTTCAGGTTCCATTTCAATCATTTCAGAACCTGATCCGTTTGGTTCTGTCCTGGGGGCGGTGTGACCGTGTGCGTCACCTGGAGCGACTCGGGGATCCGGTGGTGGTGCCGGGTCTCCTCAGCGGTCAGTCCTTTGTGAGGCGTGTAGCTGGTGTCGGTCAGCCCGGCCCGCTGCTCAAACTTATACATGCTGTCCTGAGTTTGTTCTGAAGCGACAAAGATTATTTTAATTATTAAAATTCATTGAACTACCCGTGAAGTCATGTTGTTGACCGGTCCGAACCAGGACCTGTCCTCCGGAACAAACGGTGGAACTTACTGGTGATGAGAGAATTAATGATGATAGAAGAGGCTTTGGTCTTGACCGGCGCCGGCGCCTTGAAGGCGGCGCCGTCCTGCCCTGACGTTTGCTTGGCCGCTCCCTCCTCCTCCTCCTGTGGGGCAGGGAATAAAGAATGATAACCTGAACATCAGCCCAGATGTGTCGGTGCTGCGGACCCTCACCTCAGCCAGCTGGGAGAACTTCCTGGATGGTACGACGGGGCGTTTCCACAGGTTGTTGATGCTGATGTCATGGGGCGGCGTGGACATGGGGGCCTCCAGGTTGTCGTCGTAGCTGAGGGCCCGTCGGGTCATTCCCACGGGAAGCTTCATCCCGCCCATCCCAGAACCCTCGATGGCTGCAGACAAACAAACATCAGCTTCTCCTCCGTTTGGCCCCGGGACGATTTAACCCACAACACCATTTTCTTTTCATTCATTTGCAGGAGCATGATCACGTTTAATATAAAAAAAAATAACTATTTTATTTAAAATAGGGACGATGTTAAGGATCCTTTTATCTGCAGCAGCTTTAAAAAACAAATCTCTTCTAATAAAACACAAACAAATAATAATAATGAAAGTAATAAAGTCTAATGTTTGATGTCAAACCTGCTAAAAGGTCCAGGACTCACCTGGCAGGTCACCAGAACCAGACATGACTGCAGTCGGACCGTGGACCAGATCAGTCAGGGAAGGACCTGAAAAAGAAACATCTTACCTTTACTCCGACACATTTGATTTTTAATCACACTGTAGGTTCAAAGATGGACTTTATCTTAGAGTCCAGCTGCTTCTAGAAACTGAAGTTATTCAGAGAAATCCTTCAATCTTTACCTTCCTGCTTCGCTGCTCTGACTTGGATCAGCAGGGTGGAAGAGACGATTACACCGCTCTGCCTGACGGACACAAAGGCCTCTGGCAATGCATTGTGGGAGAGCAACAGGCGCAGACACAACTGAGGAGGCAGAAGGACAGAGCCTTATGTTGTCTGTCTCTCAAGAACAGAGTTACTAACATGCATGGCTTTGGTCGGTGCAGGACTGAGGACTGGCTGAAGACTTCTGCACAGCTGTGTGGAGACGAGATAAAATGATAGTTACAGAGGACGAGCCAGAACTGATCCGAGCTTCATCATGAACTCCTGCTTGATGTGTCCCATGATCCAAAGCTGGATGAATGGGTTAATGACGTCACAGGTTGTGTTGTCAAGAGCTTTGAAAATCTTCATAAGACACAAAGGTGATTTATAGAAGTACAGTCCATTTACAACCTGGAATACAGAAACAAGTGACCAATCGTTACATGCAGTTAGTTCAGTCAGCCGCTGCACGCCAAACTCCGTTCAAAAACCCGCTAAAATAAGAATCATCACCCAATAACTAAAAAAAAATCTAATTAAACTCAAGTTAAAAATCAAAGGTTAGCTGAATCGGTGTCGGAGAGTATTTCGGCGTAAAATGATCATTTGTTTAGATTTGATTTTGTTAAAAAAAACAAAAAACAGATCCACGTTGGCAGATCAACCACAACCGAATATTAAAATGTTACCATTTTACCGCGCCATCTTACCGGAAATTCATCTACATCCAGAGAATATCAAACGCAGATCCGTTACGATCAGCTGTCGAGAGTTTGCAGTAAAATAAAAGTAAAACTGACGGTGTCTGGTTGTTTCTGTATTCAGGTAGCGGAACCAGTCCGCGGTGAAGATGCCGACACAATATGGCGACAAAATACGTTCAACGGCGACGTTTTCGGCAATCATGAATTATTTTTCTTCTTACCTGAAGAAACAGAGACTTTAAAGCTACGACATAAACATTGTTGAAATTCTAATATTGACTCGTAATCTCGGAGAAACGAAGCTGAGCTGGAGAACAGCCATTATTAATGGGCTGGCTTCCTCCTCCCTGCTCGGTCGTCGTTCTCGCAGAATATCGCGAGACTACGAACATCATCGCAGTTTTCCCCCTAAATACTAACACGAAACCATTAAAGTTTAAACCAACATTTCAAATATATGACAGTTTACAAGCATACATTTGTTTCTCTTCAGTTCAGCTTAAATAAATGTGAAATAAAAAAAAAAAACTTTTTGAAATGACGAAGCAATCCACAACTTCCGGTGAGGAGGCGGAAGTAAAACAGAAGTAAAACCATAGAATGAACTGTCTCATTTTGCCAAACTTTTCAGAGTCCGTCCAAAAAAATTGACATTCATGTTTTAACATGAAGAAAAATTCTTGCAACCGATATAAAGCTCTTAAAACGCACTATTGTAAATATTTTTTATATATTTAATATAGGGATTAACCTGTCTAAATAAAAGTTGAATTAATGAATTTACTAAATAATGTAGCTTTTTAGAAATTGTCCAATAAAGATTTTTTAAACTTTCAATATTTAGTTTATTAAAATCACAAAAATATTTATTGAAAAATTGTATGCATAAATGCACATAGATTAAAATAACAGCTAGATTCACAGATAGGCATGGTTTTATCATTTAAACATTAAATGTGTTATTTTAAAGCATGATGTGCTAAAACAGTTTTTATTACCTTAAGTTATAACTTAGCATATTCAGTTTATAACATAACTACCTGTATTGTCAAATAAAGCACTGATGCTCTAAGTTTGCATGCTTTCCTCGCCAATATTAATTAATGACGAACAACATTTATTTTGGACACAGAGCAGACAGAATGGGAAAAAAGCCTGAAAGTAAAACACACTGATCCTAACAGAATCAAATAAGTACACATCAAAACACAACATTTTCTGTCTGAAAAGAAGCAGTAAACAGTATTAATCTCACCGGATTTACAGACAGTTACAGTTATTGATTCCTTATTTATCATCAACACCAGTCAGTCAGCACTGAACATATCCCACCTGATTCAAGCTTTTACTCAGAAAACACCAGCAACTCAAGGAAAAGGTGGGGAAAGATAAAGGATGGACACATGAACTGCAGATGGACCCTGTGGTTGAGCTTCGACCCGATCTGATGACACAGAAACTGGTTCTGTTCATCATATTTCAGTTGATGCATTCCTGATAAACATCTTTTCTTTTCCCGGTGTTACAAAACTGACCTGATAATCTGACAGAATCACTTCCAGTTTATCGGCATCGTTCAATTCATCTAAATAAAACCTTCCAGCAATGTTCGGTCAGGTTATCTGCAGCTGACCTGACTGAACATTGTCGGATTTCTTACCTGGATTGATGACCTTGACCATTAACCTTGATAAATTCTGTTCAACGACATTCTTTTGGTTTAATATTAACTAAAATCCCAGTTTTTACCTTGGATCGATCCAGGATTATTTATTGCTTTAACCCATATTATTAAAACATCACCTGTGTTGTAAAGTGAGGAGCAAGTTGCACCTTGTGTCCTCCCTCACACTTTCCCCCCTTCAAGTATCAGATTCTGCAGATTCCCTGCTGTTTGATATATTTAGTTGTTAACATTAATTGAGCTGTTTGATATTCCAAGTTAAAAACGTGAGCTCAGAGATTTTATTTTCAAAGATAAAACCTCACAGAACATCAAAGTCCATGCTCAGTGATCCAGGTAAACCTCAGAACTTTGAGCGTCAAACATGAACTTTTGTTGTGGGTGTTTGTCGCCCACTGGCGGGCAAAAGCGAAACTACACCTTGTTTAGTTTCAAATTGTTTACCTGTTGTTTGTTTACCTGTGTTTATTTTAATTAGCTGAATAAACTGAGTTAAAACGAGAGTATTTCTTCTCGCTGCATCGATTAAAATCATTAAAAGTTTCCAAGGAAAGAACTGGGAGGATCTGGATCAAAGTAAACCCGCCTCCTGGTCCTCCTGGACTGGTTCATCAGCTGATCTGATCCTCCTCCCACCTCCTCCGGATCAGGGCTGGGTGTTCCTTCCCACACAAGAACTTCTCGGTCCGGACTTCAGCCCGCAGACTGAGGAAGCAGAGGATCAGGTCTCCGCCGAACCCCCCTCCGAGGACTCCAGTCCGCTCTTCTGCTCCTGGTCCTGCTGTCGGTCCGAGCCGACCCGCGAGCCACCATGTCCGTCCAGACCAGCAAAACCACCGTGCACACCTACAAGACCATGAACGTGACTCCGGAACCGCTGAAAACCACCGTGATCTCCGCGCGCTCAGAGTCTCCGGTGTCGCGCGTGACCCCGGTGTCCCCGCTGCCTTACGCCGCCGTGAACGGCTCCTACGAGTCCGTCCGGTACCTGGTCCCGGTGCAGCAGGCCATGCCGCAGCAGTCCTTCGTGTTCATGGGTCAGCCCATGATGGGTCAGACCATGATGGGTCAGACCATGGTGGGTCAGACCATGGTGGGTCAGACCGTGATCCAGCAGCCCATGATCCAGCAGCCCATGATGCAGCCGGTCTACGTGCAGACTCTGCCGCGCGTGAGCGTCAGCAGCCAGGAGTCGGAGCACCTGTACCAGCAGCGGAGCGCACTGGAGGTGAGACCCCCCCCGGAGGAAAACCTGGTTTACTTTGTTCTTTACGATGAAAGCGATACTTGGAAACCGTGTTGCGTTCAGGGGCCGTAGGAGCTGAAAGCTCTGCAAACTCAATAATGGTTTGATTTCTATGCGTTTGTTCACTAAAGCAGTTTTTTGTCCCGACGCTGCTCCAGGTCCAGGTAGACGAGTCTCAGCAGGTGGAGTCAGGTTCGACTCCACCTGCTGAGACTCTCCACTTTTCTGTGAGTTTAATTTTCATGAACATAAAAATCCAGAACATCAGCTGAAAGTTCTAAAAGGATCTCTGAGTGGATCCGTTTATGTGAAACCGACCCAGTTCTGGTGCAGGACGTTGCTCAGATGGTCCCTGTCAGCAGGTCCTTAAACCTGTCAGGACGGGGTCTGGCCCTCCTCAGGTGTTCCACAGGTCTGGGGATGGTCCGGGAGCTGAACCTTCCTCTTCAGCTGCTCCTTCGTTGTTTGATGGGGTGTTTTGGACCTCTGTGGTTCTGGTGGACCCGTCCTCTGTCCATTGGTCTCCAGACCATAATGGTTCTACCTCCGTGCTTGGCTGTGGGGGTTCATTCTCAGAACATCTGCTCCTTCAAGCACGACTGGAAGCATCAAAGTTCAGGTGTGTAGCGGTTAGCTCCTGCTGTGGAGCACGGTGGTGGCTGCAGCATGCTGTGGGCTGGCTCAGCTCATGAACAATGTTTTTCAAGGTTTGTTTTACGAGGCGCTCGACATTTTATAAACTTTTGGATAAATTGCAACAAAGTTTACACATTGCGTTCAAGTCAAAGAATAAATTCTTCCACGTGACGCGATTTAAAGTTCCAGCCCTGAGGAGCTGACGAGGCAGGCTGGGAGCAGAGACAACGAGGAGAAGTCAAACGGAATAAAAACAGAAGAATAAAGTAAAATAAAACACGGCAGGTGGAAGGATTGTTGTGCAAAGGGCCGAGGGTTGTGCTCAAGTCTTAGACAGATTCAAACATCATGGATTTATCAGCTGGTAAACAACAAACAGGCTCTTTGTAAGGAAAGGTAAACAAGGAAACAGTTTATTGTAGATGTTTGCAGGTCTGACTGAACCCACACCTGCTTCTAAACACTGTTGGATCCAGCTGCAGGTTGGATCCAGCTGCAGGTTGGATCCAGCT